CGTCATTGTTGTTTGGCGGGTCCGGGCTGGGGATTCGAACCCGCCACCTTAGGTGTACGTGGCTGGCGCCTTAGCCGGTTGAGCTATAGGCGCCGAGCCTTCAAGATCTTTTCTAGCTATAGTCACCGTACTATGTAATAAAATGCCTGAACTTATTCCGTTTAAATGTAGCTTTGTACTGGTTGGCCGACCTACTTCTTCCCCCTACTTCTCCCTCCAACCCAATCTTTATTCTTCTTTTAATATAGGCATTCACTACTGTAAACTTCTGTCTAAGTGCTGCTTTTATTGCATCACATAATTTTTTTATATATTGAGTTTTAGATTTGTTTCGCCTCATAGTATTTTCTAATTTCCCTTTTGATTTTTTTTCTTTGGCCCATGGGTTGTTCAACGGTGTGTTGTTTAGTTTCCACACATTTGTGAGTTTTCTAGTTTTCTTTCTGCTGCTAATTTTTAGTTTTATTCTATTTTGTTTGGAAAATATACTTGATATGATTTCAGTCTTAAATTTGTTAAGTTTTATTTTGTGATGTTCTTTGTGCATTTGAGAATAATGTGTATTCTGTTGTTGGGTGGAATGTTCTGTATTTGTATTAGGTTCATTTGGTATATAGTGTTGTTCAAATCCTCTATTTCCTTATTAAATTCTTTTTTTTTTTTTTCTGAGACAGTGTCACTATATCGCCCTCGGTAGAATGCCGAGTGCTGTGGCGTCACAGCCCACAACTTCCTCAAACTCTCGGGCTTAAGCGATTCTCTTGCTTCAGCCTCCCAAGTCGTTGGGACTACAGGCGCCTGTCACGCTATTTTTTTGTTGTCGTTGTTTAGCAGGCCCTGGCCGGGTTTGAACCCACCAGCCCTAGTGTATGTGGCCAGCGCCCTAACTATTGAGCTCCGGGCGCCGAGCCTCCTTATTGAATTCTTCTCTGGATGTTCTGTACATTATTGGAAGTCCAGTATTAAAATCTCCTATTAGGGCCCGCGGGGCACCCTGTCACCGACGCCGGCAGCGAACTAAGCACCGGGCTGCAGCGCCGGGCGAGGCTGCTGCGGGTGGGGGGTCGGGCTGGAGGAGGGTGTGGCGGTCCAGGGGCGCTCCTTCTGCAGCAGTTCACCCCGCCTGTACCGAGGTCTTCCCACCCCCCCGGAAAAGCCGCTGGAATCGGGTTAATGTATAATCTAGAGGCGACGTGACCGGACTTCTAAAGGGCTCTAGGCGACGCCAGAACCGGGTGGCTGGGGCTCGCTGCGGCAAGGAGGGGCCCTGCGGGCCGCGTTCCCCTGGCAGGAACGCAGCCCGCTGTAATCTGAACAGGGGTCGAGGTCTGTGACCGGGTCCCGGTCCACCCTGACCCGGGCCCGCCGCCGCTTGGCCTCAAGCTCGGGTCCCCGCCACTCGCGCCCCTTGACAGTACTGTTCCTCCTGGGTCTGATGGGGCGGGGAGATTGAAATCCAGGTTAGAGCGCGGCGCCGCTGAAGACCGAGGGGACCCGAGTAGGCTCCCTCACTCCAGCCTGCTGCAGGTCTCTGAGCCAGAAGCACAAGGCTGCAGAAGAACCCAGTCCAGTGGAAGTCACCGCCCCTGGGGTGGGGGGAGGTTCAGGGAGGACGGCTGCGCCAAGGATCGTTGCTCACACTTGGCAAGTTGCAGCTGAAAACGGGCTGAGGTGACATCCAGGACACAGTCTGGAGCTAAGAGGCCATGCTAGGCCCTTGGGCGCTGCTTCTGCAGGCAGTATCTTCAACACAGCAGATGGGGGAGGGAGGGCACAATACAGACCCCCACAGACCAAAAGAGGGCGTCTGTGTCTCCAGCCAAATCCTCTTGTGTGGCTGCAGAGCTGAGGTCTTAGTGCTCCCACCCTGGGCCCTTGAGGTGCAGACCCTGCTGTGCCCCCTTTGTACCCATGTCCTGGCCCAGGCAGCCTATGGCTCCTTTTTTGGTAACTTGGTTTAAGGGGAAATTAGAGAAGGAAGTGTCTGGTGTGCAAAGGAATGCAGCTTATAGCAGTTAGGGCTTCCCCATGTGGGAAAAGCCCTCTCTGGACAGTGTGAGCCCTAATCCAGGTGTTGCTCATCTGTGGCCATGGGTTCTCCATTAAGGGGAGCCCAGAAGGAGGTGTGCTTGGTGGCCCTAGGCTTGTTCTGCATCTTGACACAAGGTGATGTGGGTGGTTGGGACTGTCTCTACCCTTCTCTAAACCAATACAGGTGGGGCAGAGTAGGCTGATAGGGCCTGGAGGGCTGGCAGGTAGACAAGTACCCCTTGCAACCCACCAAGGCCTTAACCTCTCTACACTTCCAGGGACTCTGGGGGAGGGCCAGTCCATTCTGAGACTTGGCCTGCCCCTTCCTAAGCTGTCTGCTGACCCAGGGCCCCTCTACTCCTTGGTCAGGATGGTCTCCAGGAAATGCTACTATTTTTCTTTCTTTTTTTTTTTTGAGACAGAGCCTCAAGCTGCCCCCCTGGGCAGAGTGCTGCGGCATCACAGCTCACAGCAACCTCCTCCTGGGCTCAAGCGAGTCTCCTGCCTCCGCCTCCCAAGTAGCTGGGACCACAGGCGCCCGCCACAACGCCAGCTATTTTTTGGTTGCAGCCGTCGTTGTTTGGCGGGTCCAGGCTGGGGATTCGAACCCACCACCTTAGGTGTACGTGGCTGGCACCTTAGCCGGTTGAGCTATAGGCGCCGAGCCTACTTTTTTTTTTTTCTCTAGAAGCTAATTTCCCACAGAGTGTCGAGTATCTTTTGTTATGGAGGGGGAATGTCCCTATTTTGATCCAAACAGTCTCTAACCATGAAACCCTTGTCTCTTAATTTGGCAACCCAGGCCTGGTCACCCCAGATTGCCTTGGGTTCTCTCACCCAGCCCTCCCAGAACCCCACAGTAGGGATGCAGGCTGGGGGTCAGACAGATGGGACTGCTCAAGAAGGGATGACAGAGGTAGGCCTTGGCTCTTTGCATCTGCATTTATTTCTAGTATCAGCATTTGCTCCTTGTCAGGTGCTGGTGGGAGGCCCCGCTCTCCCCTCTAGCTCCCCCTCTCCCCCCCGCAGGCGCAGGTTCATGTACACTGTGCACAGGGGTGTGAGGCTGTACTCCCCTAGAGGGAGCTTGTCTTCCATCTGCTTCCCCTCGAAGCTCAGCCAGAACTGGTCCTCTTGCACGTGCTCCTGTAAGCACACCTGCTGCTTGAGGCTGGCCACAGTCTCCGTCAGCCGGATCTCGTAGGAATGGCTGCGGCCCTTGTCGTTCCTCACCAGGATGCTCAGGGGGTTGTCGCAGCTTTGCACCACCAGCAAGACTGTGCTGCCAGGTCCCAGGCCCTGGCTGACAAGGGGGACCTTGTCCTGTAGCACCACGCCACTTGGGTGAATGACTAGGCGCTGCTGGAAGGCATGTATACCAATCTTCTGGGTGATCTGCTGCTTCAGATTTGACACCAGTGTAGAGTTGCTCATGGGCACCTGGAACTCCTGGCCCCCCAGCATCTTCACCTTCAGGTCCCAACCCTGCAGGTATCACAGGGGCTCAGAGATACTGGCATGAGTCAAGGGGCCCCAACACACAAGACATTGGCTGCAGGGCCAGCTCCTACACCCAGGGATAAGGCTCCCTTTCATCTGTCCTCTCCACCCATGAGGAGAGGGACCCCAGGTGCAAGAGGCACAGAGGGGCCATTTCTTTTTTTTTTTTTT